TCCCATGGGGGCAGGGTCCCTGACTGAGGGGCTGATGGGGCCGCTGATCCCTGGTGTGGTGGGCCGGAGGAATTGGGGTCCCTGACCAATGTGTCCAAACGGCTGGTCCCAGTGTGGGCAGGAGTTGGGGGTTCCTGACCAAGGGGCTGTTGGGGTGGCAGGTCCCAGGGTGGCCCCCTAGAGTCAGGGCCTCCCACAGGGTGGGCTGCAATTGGGTTCTTATGTGTTGTCTCTGCCCCGCCCCCCAGCTCAACCCCAATGTCAACGCCTTCCAGCGGCGCTTTGTGGGCGAGGTGCGGCGCTGTGAGGACATGGAGAAAACTTTCAGTGAGTGCCTGCCCCCCCTGGGTGGGGAGGCGTCTGCTGGGGGGCAGGATCACACGTGGGGCATCTCTAGGACTTTGGGGGCCCCGTGGGGTCAGGGGAAGGGAGGATATTCTCTGGAGTGGTGGAGACCCTGTGGGGAGGGAAGCATGTCTCTTGCAGGGGGGACGTCTCTCTGGGGTGTCAGGGACGGGATGTGGGGCTGGGAGCCTGGGGTGGGGGATGGAGGGGTCTGTCTGTGGTGGCAGATACCCAACCGTGTGGGGGCATCTCTCTGAGTGGGTACCTGATGTTGCTGGAGGAAGTGTCTCTCACAAACACAGACCCCATGGATCTCATGTACCAGGCCTTTCAGAGAGCCCTTGACAAGGTCTCTCGCCAAAGGCTGGTAAGCAAGGGAAGCTGTCCTGGGATAAGAGGGAAGGGCCTCTCATGGGTCAGGAACTGATTAGAAGATAGAAGGCCAAGGGGGTAGGAGTCAATGGTCAGTTTTCGCACAGGAGAGAGGTAAAGAGCAGTGTCTCCCAGGGGTCTGTTCTGGGATCGGGGCTGGTCAACCTGCAAGATTCATAAATGGTCTGGAAAAAGGGGGCAAACAGCGAGGTGGCAAAGTTTGCAGATGAAGATAGCTAAGTCCAAAGCAGCGTGCGAAGAGGTAGCAAAAGATCTCTCCAAACTAGGTGAGCGGGCAACTCAGTGGCAGGTGGAATTCACTGTTGATTACTGCAGAGTGATGCACCGTGTGATCCCAACTACACGTAAACGTTAATAGGATGTAAATTAGCTGTTACCACACAAGGAAGAGATCTTGGAGTCCTCGTGGATAGTTCTCTACAAACATCTGTTCAGTGTGCAGTGGCAGTCACACACGCCAAAAAAAAAAGCTAACCATGTTAGGAACCTTAGAGGGATAGATAATAAGACAAAACATACCACAACGCTGCTGTTTACGTCTATGATATGCCCTCACCTCGAATACTGCATGCAGTTCCGGGCACCTCATCTCTAGAAAGAGATGTTCAAAATGGAAAAGGTACAGAGAAGGGCCACAAACATGACGAGGGTATAGAACAGCTTCCATGTGAGGACAGATTAAAAAGACTCAGACTATTCATCTCAGACAGGAGATGAGCAAGGGGGAGATGTGACAGGAGTCTATAAAATTGTGACTGATGCAGCAAAAGTGAATACGGAAGTGTTATTTACTCCTTACATGACACAAGGACTAGGGGTCACCTAATGAAATTAACAGGCCAGAAGATTCCAAACGAACAAAAGGAAGTAATTCTTCACATAAGGCTCTGTTAACCTGCAGAACTCCTTGCTGGGGGATATTGTGAAGGCCAAAACTATACCAGGGAATGAGAGTGAGCTAATTTCATGGAGAATAGGCCCATAAATGGCTATTAGCTAGGGACACACTCCCATGGGCTGGGGATGCCAGAAACTGGGACTGGATGCCAAGGGATGGACCACTCAATAATTGCCCTGTTCTGTTTATTCCCTGTGAAGTACCTGCCACCGGCCCATCAGGATAATGGGTGAGCTGGACCATTGGGCTGCCCCAAAGTGGCCATTCTCATGTTCTTACCTATCTGATGGTTATAGTGTGTGTGGGGGGGTCTCCAGCTGGGTGCCTGCTGGTGGCAGTGGGGGGTGAGGGTAGGTTAGGCATGAGCAGGGCTGATGGGCCCCATGTCCTTGCCATGCAGCGTTCCTGCACCAGGAGCTGCGGAAGGCTGGGCTGGCGCTGGACCCCTGCCCCGAAAGCCCCCGGGCCCCGCTGCCCCGGGATGCCCTCCTCATCCAGGACCAGTCGGAGCAGCTGGCGCAGGAGCTGCGGGAAGTGAGCCGCAACCGGGAGTCGCTGAGCGGGCGCCTGCGGGAGCTGCGGGAGTATGTGCAAGTCCTGCGCGAGGGGCAGCGTTTCACCGGCCAGCTGGTGAGTCCTCATGCGGGGGCAGAGCAGGGACCTGGGGGGCTGGGAGGGGATAGGTGGAGAAGAGGGTGTGACAGGAGCTCGGGGCTGCCCTCTGTCCCTCCAACCTGGAATTCCTCTCTTGCTGTGATGCTGATGTCGAGCTACAACCCTGGGATCGGCCCGGCGCTCCCACAGCCGTCCACAGGCAGGGGCGCACCCCACGGTTACGTGAACACTCGCCCAGCCCCTCGGGAGCCCGCACGCGGGAGGGTCCGCCAAACGCTCCCTCCGTGCGGAGAGGACGTTGCCGATCAAGCTGGGATTTCCCAAGCATCCAGCCAAAGTGCACGCGAGCTGAGGTCAAATACAAAACCGATTTAGTCGCTACAGAAAGACCCGATCTGAAGTGAGGATCAGTGGCAGGCGCGGTGCTCAAAAGCTGGTTATTTCAGACATAAAATGAAAAAAAAAAAACCAACCCGTTCACCGTCTTAAGTTCTACCGACGAAACAGGGTTCGAAGCTCGCCCTGGCTGAGGGCTACAAGCGGGTTACCGATCCCCAATACACCAACTGGACTCCCTTTTCCAGCCTGCACCCCCTTCCCCAGTTCTAAGGCTTTGTCCTCCAGGTGTTGCTCCCAGCTGTTGAGTTGGGAAGGGAGAGAGGCCAAGCTGAGACAGGAGGTCGCTTCTCTTGTGTAGCTTCTCCCCGCTTGCTGGAAAGCCCTTTGCTGTGGGGATCAGACAGCCCCCGTGGGTCAGGCCATCCCCACTGCATACACATTCTGTCCGAGAAGTGTCTGTGATGGCTGCCGAGAGCGTGGATTCGGTCCAGTGGGTCACCCGCACGTCTGGCTGGTCCTTGGCTGCCGTTGAAGGTTGGCGGGGGCCTCGCCCGACCTCACAGAGTATCGGTAACCCGTGTAGCGTTGCTTAACTCGGCATGCGGCGACAGCACACGCAACCCCACGGGACAGTCAGGTCCCACAGAGCACAACTCCCACTGTGACCCCTCACAAGACACGCTATGCACAACACGTACCCTAATTCTGTGACCGTGGAGAAGTTGGTTGTTTCAGGGGGCTGCTTTGAGGGGGCAGAATGGAAGGAAAGGTGGGAGGCAGAGAGGGGATGGGAGGAGAGGGGGTATCTCAGGAGTGGGGGGCAGAGAAGGGTGGAGCGGATTACCCCCAGGGCTGGGCAGTGATGTGTGTGGGGGCCAAGGGTGGATTGCTGGCAGAGAAGGGAAGGAGGAGGGGGGATACCGTGGTACTGGGTGCCTGGCAAAAGGAGAAGGAGGGCAAGGAGCTGGTTGCCAGGGAAGGAGGGAGGGTACTGTGGCACTGGTTGCCAGGGAAGGAGAGGGGTACCATGGCACTGGTTGCCAGGGAAGGAGAGGGGTACCACGGCACTGGTTGCCAGGGAAGGAGGAAGGTACCATGGCACTGCTTGCCAGGGAAGGAGAGGGATACCATGGCACTGGTTGCCAGGGAAGGAGGGGGTACCGTGGCACTGGTTGCCAGGGAAGGAGAGGAGTACCACGGCACTGGTTGCCAGGGAAGGAGAGGGGTACCGTGGCACTGGTTGCCAGGGAAGGAGAGGGGTACCACGGCACTGGTTGCCAGGGAAGGAGGAAGGTACTG